TACTTGTATCTATGAGATGGGGTGGGGTGGGGGGGCACATACCCAGGTTGCGGGTTAGATGAATGAAGTCCATTTGCCACACCTTGAATGATCTGTTAGGCAATTTAAAATGTTTGTGGGTGGTGTGGACAGTTTCTTTTGGATTATTTTTTGGGCAGGTGGGGCAAGAAAAGTAGATGCTTTTTGTGGCCTTATTAATATTTCCACACCAGTATTGGCTCATGACGGTTATAATTTTATCAGTGACCAACAATTCAATGCGTGCACAGTAATGGGAATTTAGAATTTCTGGCAGGAGTGGATTGTTATTTGGCTCAAGCCAGAGTTCTCTCTTTTCATCGAACCAATAATTATTAGAGTTCCAGTATTGTTTTTCCTTTAATGGGGCCAAATTTAGAGCATTCCTAGTCAGTTTTTCTACATTATCATTTGGGGAGCCTCCCTTTGTACCACGACAGAGGCTTGGCTATTGGTTCCTTTGAGAGCAGTGTTGTTGGTGGAAATATATGAGTGAGGTTGTTTGCTTTAGCCTCCAGGGAGTCAAGCTGGGAATGTCCAAGCGTCTTAATAGCCAAGGTGGCGGGTAGGAGTATGGCATCTAATAGTTTTTGGTTTTAAGAGCCATTCTTAGTTGTATCCCCATTAGAGGTAAGGAAACCTTGTGGTCACGATCTACCCCAAAGGCATAGCAACTATTGATATAAATGTTTTGTTTTGCCTTTGACAAGAGCACAAACTAGAGTAAGTGTGTAATTCAGTCAGCTGGGCTGAGATAGCCAGAGGCAAAGTGCTGCCTTGATGACTTCAAAAGTAGCTATAATAGCATACCCCGTGTGGCTCAGTGGCTTGAGCATCAACCCATGCACCAAGAGGTCACTGGTTCGATTCCAGGTCAGGGTACATGCCCGGGTTGCAGTCTCGATCCCCAGTAGGAGGTGTGTAGGAGGCAGTTGATGGATGTTTCTATCTCTCCATTCCTCTTCCTTTCTCTCTCTAAAATCAATAAAAACATATTTTTTAAAAATAGCATACCCAGTGCTCGCTTCGGCAGCACATAGACCAAAACTGGAACGAAACAGAGATTAGCCCCTGCAAAAGGATGGCATGCAAATTCGTGAAAAAAAAATCATAAAAAATAGGATGCCCAGTCCAATATTTACCATTTATATAAGAACAGTCAGCTTGAGCCAGTTGTTTGGAGTGTCTGGTACACTGAAAGGTCATGGGTTCAATTCCCAGGCAGGGCACATCGCTAGGTTGTGGGTTCCGGTCCCCAGTTGGGGTGTGCATAAGAGGCAACCAATCTATGTTTCTCTCTCACATCCATGTTTCTCTTTCCTTTCCTCTCTCTCTAAAAGCAATGAACATTCCCTCCGGTGAGGATTGAAAAAAAAAAAAGAAAAAAGAAAAAATTATTTAAATAAGAATGAGGAACTTCCTGTAAATGATGGGGAGTCAAAAGGTGACCTATCAGCATCAAGCAGTCCTGAGGGGTTTTGTCAGTGAAGATGGGATGATAGCCAGGTCAATTTCATAGGTGAGACAACTGGCAGGAACGGTTTTTTTTTTAAAAAAATATATTTTATTGAGTTTTTTACAGAGAGGAAGGGAGAGGGATAGAGAGTTAGAAACATTGATGAGAGAGAAACATCGATCAGCTGCCTCCTGCACACCCCCCACTGGGGATGTGCCCGCAACCCAGGTACATGCCCTTGACCGGAATCGAACCTGGGACCTCCCAGTCCGCAGGCCTACGCTCTATCCACTGAGCCAAACCGGCCTCGGCCCAAATTTATTTCTATTTAAAAATGCTCAAGAGACTTTAAAAAGGCCCAAAAGCCCAAAGGCGTCCAGTTTTAATTTCAGATCATCCTGACTTGGTGTCCTTCCGTTTCTCCTTTTGTGAGGCATCGATTTGGTCATCAGGTTATGAACGATGGAAAACATAAGACCAGAAATAATCACGAGACGTCTGCAGATATTCCTTGAATATCCTTTCTGAATTATTCTTTGCAACCAGGCACAGTGATCGAGTAGGGGAGATCATGATGAGTGTCACCTGCAAAGACTGGTATTAAATGCAGCTCTTTCAAAAAGAAACCAGCAAACACCTTTCAAGATGAAACAGCCTGGCAGGAAAGTTATCAAGTGTGATGAGAATGCAGGACTTCAACTGCTTGGGTACAAGATGACGGGGCGGTGGGAGGGAATCCCATGCCTATTTTTTCAGTGTATTTAACGAAAAGGACAGTGGCTCTGAGGCAAGAGGAGTTACCCTTGTGCCACCCGGTCTAGCTGTTGGCTGTGGAGTCCTATGTGGTGATGGCCATCTCCATGCTTTAGGGCAGCAATTTTCAACCTTTTCCACTCATGACACAAATTAATTACTAAAGTTCTGGGACAGACCAAAAAGTATATTTTTTTGACGCTCTGACAAAAAAGAGGAGACCCACAGAAAGTGAAGGCTGTACAGCCATCATTGATTGGCTGCCTCCTGCACACCCCACACTGGGGATGGAGCCCGCAACCCAGGCATGTGCCCTTGGCCGCAGGCCAATGCTCTATCCACTGAGCCAAAACGGCTAGGGCAAAGAGGTATAATTTTGATTCATTCACAACAGACGGCTTATTGTTGGGTTGGTTTGTCATTTTTTAAAATGCATTTTTATTGATTTCAGGGAGAGGAAGGGAGAGGGAGAGATAGAAATATCAATGATGGGAGAGAATCATTGATCCGCTGACTCCTGCACGCTCCCCCACCCTCCCTCGGGGATGGAGCCCGCAACCTGGGCATGTGCCCTGACTGGGAATCAAAGCTCCACTCTCAACAACAGGTTGAGCTGGTTTGCATTTTTAAAATTTGACAGTTAAGGGAAAAGTGGTCAAGGTCCCTGACTAAATAGGCACTGCATGTTTCCAAAATTCCTGCGGCACACCAGTTGAAAACCGGTGCTTTAGGGTGAGCGCCAGGGAGGGACCCTGGGCCCTGGCAGAGCAGAACGCGAAGGGACAAGTCGCGTGTTCCGTCGGCCCCTTCCGGCGTCGCAACGGCCTCCGCCCCGCAACTTCCGGCTCGGTCTCGGGCCGGTGCGATGGTCTCAGACCTGCGAAGGACACCTCTGAGCAGCGTGTTCCACAGCCATGGAGCAGGACGACCCGGCCGAGGCGCTGACGGAGCTGCGCGAGCGCAAGCCCAGCCGGTTGGAGCTGCTGCAGGTGGCGGCGGGCTCGGGCCTGGCCGCCTGCCCCGTGTGGGCGCTGCTCCTGCAGCCGGGCTTCCGCCGGGTGCCTCTGCGGCTGCAGGGTGGGCGGGGCCATGACTGGGGGCGAGGCCTACGAGGGACGCGGCTCCGGCCGGTGGGCGGGGCCATGACTGGGGGCGAGGCCTACGAGGGACGCGGCTCCGGCCGGTGGGCGGGGCCATGACTGGGGGCGAGGCCTACGAGGGACGCGGCTCCGGCCGGTGGGCGGGGCCATGACTGGGGGCGAGGCCTACGAGGGACGCGGCTCCGGCCGGTGGGCGGGGCCATGACTGGGGGCGAGGCCTACGAGGGACGCGGCTCTGGCCGGTGGGCGTGGCCATGACTGGGGGCGAGGCCTACAAGGGACGCGGCTCTGGCCGGTGGGCGGGGCTATGACTGGGGGCGAGGCCTACGAGGGATGCGGCTCTGGCCGGTGGGCGGGGCCAGGGCTGGGGGCGGGGCCTGCATTGAGGTGCTGAGTCCGGTTGTGGTGAGCGGAGTGGGTGCTGCCTAGGGGCCAGCCGGGGTGTGAGTTGGGACCTGTGTCAGGTAGGGCAGGGCAGCTCATGCGAAGAAAGGAGCCCAGGTGGCAGGCTCCGCCCGCCACCAGTATGATTCCGATTAGGGGACCAGGCGTGTGAAGAGCCCGAGTGGCTGATGGACTCCGGCGCTCCCAGCCACATGTCTCCTTGCCCAGGTGCCCTATGTTGGGGCGAGTGTGCGGCAGGTGGAGCACGTGTTGTCGCTGCTGCGAGGCCGCTCTGGAAAGCTGGTGGACCTGGGCTCTGGCGATGGCAGGATTGTAAGCAGTGGGGGGCGGGGCGGGGGCCACGCTCACGGCTCTCTCCCAATCTGCCGGTTCTGACGCTGTTGGTGCGCACAGGTGCTGGCTGCCCACAGAAGCGGCCTCCGCCCCGCTGTGGGCTATGAGCTGAACCCGTGGCTGGTGGGGCTGGCAAGGCTGCATGCCTGGAGGGCAGGCTGTGCCGGCAGTGTCTGCTACTACCGTGAGGATCTCTGGAAGGTAACCTGGGGAGTCTTGGACTCCTTCAGACCCCACACCTGACCTCCACGCGTCAGTTCTGGCGTGGCTACCTTGCTGACAGCCCCGCGTGTCCCTGCCTCCTGGGCAAGCTGGGGCTTGCACTCAGAAGCTGAGGTAACCCCATACCCACTAGACCGCTTCCAGGGCTGGAGTTCCATTCGTTACTGGGGTGACCTCCTCTTCCCACAGGTGAGCCTGAGGGACTGCCACAACGTGTGTGTGTTCCTGGCCCCCAGCGTGGTAGGTGTAGGGTTTGGTAGCCCCAGGGGAGGCTCAGGCCACCAGTGTATGTGCTGGGCCTGGAGGAGCTGGGAGGGGGCACTTGTGTTCTGTCCTGCCCATCCCCCTCTCCTGCTCTCTCCAACAGCTCCCACTGCTGGAGGGAAAGCTACAGGCAGAACTACCTGAGGGGGCCCGCGTGGTGTCAGGCCGCTTCCCCCTCCCTACCTGGCAGCCTGTGGCTGTGGTGGGTGAGGGCCTGGACCGTGTCTGGGCCTATGACGTCCATGGTGGTGGGCCAGGTGGGCAGGCTGCCCCAGCACCCAGTTCTGCCTTGGTCCCTAGGGCCCCTGACCCTCAGGCTGGCTGACTATTGCATTGTGGCTACAATAAAGACTCAGTAGGCTCCACCTGACTCTTGTTGTGTGGAGGGTTGGGTTCAGTGACTGCCCAAGCTGGGGCTTTGGGGAGGGCTCCCTGCTGGCTGGGAAGAGGTGTGCTCCGAGTTTATCTGATACTGGTTAGCGGCTGCGGGTCCTTGGGTGCGGAGGCTTGGTTGGAGGTACGGCCTTCACTTTCTGTGGGTCTCCTGGACCCACCAGCTTCCGCAGCCTCAGGATCTCCTGCTTGTACCTGCTCAGAGGGACCAGCCTGAGTAATCTGCCAGGCCGTGGACAAGACCTGCTTCTAGTGTTTGAGATCCACACCCATCCCACTTTTCCGAAAGCTTACCTGCCTAAGTGCTGGTCCACATACTCCTGAAGCTCAGAAAGTTGTGCCTCAGCCATCGTGGCTCTGACTAGCAGCTCTGCCCGCTCACGTTCCAGCTTTGCCTGACATCGGAGGGGCATAAGGCATGAGCCAGAACAGAGTATGAGGACGGAATCCCTGGCCACACCTTGCCCCCTCACTACCTGGGTGCTATGATAGAAGTCCCGGAGTTTCTGGTGGATCTGGGCCCAGGATTCAGCTTCCAGGCTCCTGTGAGAGAAGAGGGGGGGTTGGACATGAGGGCAGGTGTTGGCCCAGGAGCTGACCAGTGGCACTGCTCAAGTCGGGGCACCTAAATACTTGAGATGCCTGCTGGGGGCAAGTTCAGGGCCCACCCTGCCACTGTGGGAGCCATCTGTGCATGGGGGCAGGGCAGCCCAGGTCAGGAGGGCCCCAGTGTCTCTGTAAGGGTGCTGAGGGGGCCTCCCCTGTGCTGGGGGTTTGTTTCCCAAAACCCTGCGGGGTGGGCCTGCGTTACCCCTGCTCATTGCACTGTTGGAGGCATGGGGCCCGGAGGCAAGGCTGTGAAGGGCACCAGGTAACCTGCTCCTGCCCTGTCCCTTGGCTCACCTGAAACACCTTTCCCTGGACTCTCCCTCACCCGCCCTTGAGGACAGCCCTTCTCCCGTCAGGGCCCCCTCCACCTGGGGACTTGGCTTTTCTGTAATTATTAGTGTCTCCCACACAGGCAGACCAACCACTTTCACTGCTGCAACCACAACCCCACCCAGCAGTTACGACTCGTTAGAATAAGTGGGTACCCCCTTACAGGTCCCCCCGACACCCACACCAGGGCACTCACTGTGGCTCTGATGTGCTCCCCTGGGAGGCTTCGTCAGGTCTCTTCTGTGGGAAGAAGGACAGTGCGCTGAGCCCTCTGTGATAAGCTGGTGATAGGGATTCTCGGCTGAACGAGGCGGGCTGCTCAGAGGCCCTGGGGCGGGGGCTCTGCTGAGCCTGGGATGGGCCGCAGGGTGAGTTCTGGGCTCGGTGCCCCAAGGCCAGTATGGGGCAGCAGTGATGGGTCACCTGGGCTTGGAGCTTCTGGAGCTGTGTGACCAGGCGCAGAGGCAGTGGCTCCAGGTTTGAGGTGACTTCATCAGAGGTGGCCTTGGGTTTCCCAGGTGCTCCTTTGGGGTCCGCCTGCACCTGCTGCACACTAAACCAGCTGGGGGTCATGTAGAGCCATCCCACCCCAGATGCCCATCTCAGGGGAAGGGAAGGGCCTACCTGTGGGCACCTAACAGTTCCTCATGTCTTTGGCTCAGGTCTGCCAGGCGCTTACGGTAGACTCGAGCAGCTCGGGCCAGCTGTTGCTCACGGCTGTGGTGTGCTGCTCGGATGTCCTCCAGAGTGGTCTCCAGGAATGTCTGGAGGGCTACACCTGTAGGTGCCTGGCTTGTGCCATCTGCGTATTCCTGGAGGAGATGGGGTGGGGCCTGAGCTTGGTAGGGCCCACACCCTTCCCACAGCTCCTGTGTGGAGCAGGTTCTGCAGTGCAGTAGGTGAGGCCTAGAGGGTCCCTGAAACAGTTCAGCAAACCCAGGCCAGGCTTGGACTCCCCAGGACCCAGGGGCCTCTCACCCACAACAGTGCCACCCTGCCCAGTGCTCACCACCAGGGCTCGGGAGTAGCGCTGCAGCCGGATGGTGTACTCCTCATTCATCTTCTTGAGTTGCAACTGCAACCTGGCATTCTCAGCCTCAGCCTGGCGGAGCTGGCCCTGGCAGGTGGACAACACCTGGGGACGGAGGCAGCCTTGAACCTATGCTCCTTGAGGTGGTTCTCTACTAAGCTTATAGGACCCTGTCCCCCAGATCTCAAATGGGTATAACTGGGCCTCACCACAGCTTGTGCAGCCAGTCGCTGCCCAGCTGTCCTGGCCTCCTCTTGGGCTCCCTGCAGCTGCTGGCCCAGGGCTGCCCTGCAGACATGGGTATGAGGCTCAGTGAGGCCCAGGATAGGGGACTCTCTCTGCCCCTTTAGAGCAGCTGCTGCGTGCCCTGTGCCAGGTAAGGCAGCCACTCACACGCGCATCTCCAGTGCTTGCTGGCGGGCCCCGTGCTGCTCCAGCATCCACTTCATTTCTCCCTGTAGCTGTGGGGTACATAGAGCTGGTTGGATGAGACCCCAAGCTCTGGCTCCCCTGCACTGCCCCACCCCATCCCTGGGCTGGGAGAAACGTGGGCAGGCGCCGGGCAAGATGACTGCACACTCATGCCATTTCCCAGCTTCTGCAGTTCGCTCTCAGGAGTCTGGAAGTCCTTGGGCTGTGCCTGTGCAGGAGAGTGGGTCCCAGCCTCACTGCACCCCTGCTGCACCCCCTACTTGGCTCCCACCCAGTCAGGCCCTCCATGTGCTCATGGTGACCTGAAGAATGCGATGGTTGCAGTGTTCCTGATCCCTGGCCTTTTGCTCAAGCTCCTGTGCAAATGCCTGGAGGTGCCCTGGATCAGTCTTTGCTGGGGCTGCGTGATCTCCATGCAGCTCCAGCTCCAGCTCCAGCACCCGGTTCTCCAGCCGCAGGACCTGTGGGGTGACCAGGGTGAGCAGGGGCACCTGCCTGCTGGGCCAGATGAACATCCATCTGGGCACACGTGGACACAGCGCGTGTGGGACATTCAGGGATCAGATACTCTGTGAGAACCCTGTCACCCGTCACGAGGGGCACACCTGCAACCCCCATAGCACTGGTCCTAGGTACGCATCCCGCCAAGGACTTCGGCTGGCATATGTGGGCACACATAAGCGCCCACCTCACTCTTCAGCTCAAAGATTTCAGTCTCGTGCTGCTCCCGCAGACGATGGGTTGTGATCTGCAGGTCGACCAGCTCCTTGGAGATCTGTGGGTGGCCGGGGTGAGAGGGGGTACCTGTGGGATCCTGTGGGCACCCCCCTCCTGCTAGCTCCTCAGGGCCCCTATACTCACTTGTAGCCGTTGCTCCTCACTCAGCTCTAGATCTGAGGGAAGCTCTGTCTTAAGACTGGTGACCCAGGCTGGGGCGTCCCTAGGGACTCCTGGCAGCGAATCCTCAGTCAGTGGTAGAACCTGGGGAGGAACCGCCACCCATTCCACAGGTGGGTCTCAGGCCGAGGCTGTGGCCCCCACACACCCACATCTACCCCCACATACCCAGCCTAGCTGATGGGAAAGCCAGGCCCATGCCAAGGATCAGGCCCAGGACATGTTCCTGAGCGGTCAGGGAGGACCCCAACCCCAAGGTAGAAGCAGCAGCATCCTGGGAGGACTCACATTCTTAATGGCCTGCGATGGGGCCCCTGGCGTGGGGCCTGAGGCTGCCGCTCGCTCCATAGGCAAAAGGAACTTTGGCTGCCCGGAGCCCAGTGCAGCTTCGTTTACTGGCCTGCTGTTGCGACACTAGGGCTTGTGTTGCTAAGGTCTCTGTTGGTCCACACAGTCTCCCGCCTCCCCGCCCCCGCTTCTCCCACAAAAGGGCACAGGAGCAGTTCAGTGGTCGGGGAGGTGGGGGGAACTCGGCTCCTTCATATATTGCATACCATTTTTTTCTGGCTTTAGTTGCCTCGGCTGGGAAATGCAGACCAGCACCCCAGCATTTTCCGGGGCGCGGATGGGACCAGGAGTGCTTGAAAGCGCCGTCTGGACAGGTGTGAGGCAGCGCGCACGAAAAGGAGCTGCCACTGCTGTAGGAGGTGCCCTGCCCTGCCTTGTGGTTCGCACACCCATTAGGAGCCTTCTTTGTTCCTCCCAGTGATGCTGGGCGCTGGGTCGGGCGGAGGGCAGAACAAACTGCACAGACCCCGCACTCCCCAGCCTGAGGGAAGCGGGCGCAGATGTCCCGATTAGGGGCAGGGAGGGTCAGGAAGGCTCTGTCCAGCGCACGCGCGCTCCCAGTGCAGGTTTGGGGCCCCGCCGCACGCAGGGTCTGGGCCGGGCGGGTCGGATGGGGGAGGGGGGGCGTTGGTGGCGGCCAGGCTGAGCACCGCGCTCCGTCCGGGTCCGTAAGCAGCGCCCGAAAGCCGCCTCTGTCGGGTGCCCGTCAGCCCGTCCGCACAGCCGGCGGGAGTAGGTGGGCTGCCGGGGAAAGGCGCTGTGGGACCCTGGCCCGGTCCGGCGGGGAGGCCAGGAGGGCGGGGCCTACGGACTGCGACGTGGTTGGGGCAGAGCCTGGGTGAAGGCGTGGCTCAAGGGGGCGCGGCCGGCAGCGAGCGGTGGTTTGGCCAGGAGCCGGCGTCCGCAGCAGCCGGTCAGCTTGAACCTGGACCGAGGGGTTCCACCCGGGCCCTCAGGTAGCCCCTGGAGCAGGTAGCCCCCGGCGCAGGGAGCAGGGCCCTTTATCTGGCCCCCAGTGTGTGTGTGTGTGTGTGTAGCTGACCCCTCTCGCGCACAGCCCTGCCTCGGGTCCAGAGAGGGAAGCCCCACTGTGAGGGAGGGTGGGCACTCTGGTGCTTCCTGGTGGTGGACATGTGGGCCCCTCTCTGGGGTGCACTTAAGCCTTGAGATCTGAATGTTTGGGAAATAGTCTAGCAGGGTGTACAGGGCTTTTGAACTTTAAAACTCTGAAAAGCTTTTTTTTCAATGTTGGCAGAAGCTCTTAGAAGCTGCTTTCAGAGGGAAGTCCTTCAGTGTAGTGGGGACGGGCCTGCAGGCAGAGCCCTGTGTGCTCTCCCCCCTTCCCCTGCCCTGTAAGTGGGGATCCAGCCGTGGAGAACATAGGTTCCCAGGCCCTGGAGGCCACAGCTTCCTTAAAATAAACACCCAGGTCCAGGTGGAGCGGGCACCGCTTCCCCAGCATGGGGTGTCGGGCTAGGTGCTGCTTTCCTGCCAGTGTACTTTGCTGCCAAGTGCAATAGGTTCCCCATGCTGGGCTGTAAGCTTAACCTGGGCAGGCCTGACCCATCCCTACCGGAGCTTCAGGAGTAACTCTAGAAATGGAAAGGAACCCCACTTTTAAAAATATATATATTTTTATTGATGTCAGAGAGGAAGGGAGAGGGGGAGAGAGAAACATCAATGATGAGAATCACTGATTTGCTGCCTCCTGCACACCCCTTACTGGGGATCGATACTGCAACCTGGGCATGCGCCCTGACCGGAATCAAACCATGATCACCTGGTTCATAGGTCAGTGCTCAACAGCTGAGCCACATGGGCCAGGTGGAACCCCACTTTTACTCTGCCTTAAGCTCGTCATGGGACTGGCTGAAACCCTCACACACTTGGCTCACCACAACCAGCAAGAGCAAGGGCACTGCCCGTGGACATGGGCCTGTGGAGAGGTGCCCGTACCCTATGGACACTGTGGCCTGCGCTGGGGAGTCCAGGCTGGAAGTCATCTTTACTGGCTGTGGGTCCTGAGTCCCATCTCTATGTCGGTTCTAGTACATCCTCGCAGCTCACCCACCATTTTGGGGGCAAGCCCTGGGTCCTGAGGTCCTGGCACTGGCTATGGTGAGCCCTCCTACCACCTGATGCTGAGTCCAGAGCTGGCCTTCTCCACTGCGTGGTAGCTCGTGTGCAACAGGCAGCTGGCCCGCTCTGAGTCCTTGCCGTGCAGCCAGTGCTCGTACAGCTCCTGGACCCCAGGCACATCCTCTGGTGCCTCCGTCCTGACCATGCTGTACAGCCTCTCCACGTGCTGGAGGAGCTCCTTGCCGGGGATCTCGGGGGCCTTGAGCTGGCCTCCGCCGTTCAAGCAACCTGTGGCCGAACAGGATGGGCGAGGGTGAGGGCATGGCCATGGGGAGGGTGCTGGCACACCAGGAGTAACGAGCCCCACAAGGGGCCCCTGCACTACCCGTGAGGGGGCCTGCGGAGAATACCTGAGGGGCAGGCCATGACCTCCACATAATGATATGGGCAGCGCCCTCGCTTGAGCTTCTGCACCAGGTTCTGGATGTTACGGAAGCCGTAGGCCGCAGCGAAGTGCAGCAGGACTCGGCCCTCACTCTCCAGCGTCACCTCCTGGAAATCCTTGTTCCTGGGGAGCAGAGACCACCACGCTCATCCTCACCCACAGGCATCATGTCAACCTTACCAGCTCCCAGTGAAGGACAGTGACGGAGAGGGAGGGCAGAAAGCTTAATTCCACGAGTCAGCAGGTGACCACCCCAGATCGGTTTTCCGATCTGTAGAATGGGAACCCCGCTTCCCAGGATGGCCATGTGGTGAAGTGAGGTCAGACACAAAGCCCTACCCTCCTTCTGAGATGGGATGTCCCAGCAGGACATCCTGTGCTGGGTCCGCCACCCTGCCACCACTAGCCTCTCGGGTCTCTGGACTGCCATGGGGTGGGCCGGGGACCCCGACCTTTACAAGAGGAAGATCAAGACCTGGAGAGTTCTGGCCACTCAGCGGAGCCAGAGAAGAGGACCAGCTCCTGTCCAGTGACTCAGGATCTGCGCCCAACCCAGCTCACTGTCTTCCGCCAAGCCCTCCTCAGCAAGGGACCCAGGGCCGAGGCTGCTCCCACCTTAGCCCTTCCCACTGACCTCAGGGGTTTGTAGGTGACCTCATCTACGTGGATTCCAAAGAGCTCTTGGGCTGCATGCCGGAACACGTGCTCCAGGTAGCCCCCAGAGCCCCCACCTCGATGGCTGGTGGGCTCCTGAACAGACACGCTGCCGAACCTAGGGAGGAGAGTAAGGCCTCAGGTGGCAGCAGGGCGGCGATCTGCTGCGGCTTCCAGGTGACCTCTGTCTCTCACGGTGGAGGGAGTTTGCTTTCTAAGTGGGAATGAGTCACAGACCCGTGGGGGCTTTGTTGGTGTGCCAGGAGGTGGGAGAAGACTGGCTCCCGCCACTGAGTCACCTGGATCTGGTGAGCTCAGACCTGTATCAAGTTGGTGTCATTTCTGATGACAACCGCCTTTGTGGACACCAAGACAGACCACAGGGCGGGCATGGAACCAACCAGAAGGAAGCTATGGTGGGAAGAGGTGGGGAAGGGGACACTGCCCATTACATGCTTCTGCTGCTGGCCAGGACCTGTGACCCCCAATGTCAACAGTGCCCCAACACCGAATGTCTGTTCATCCCTTCCACTATGACAGGTAGGGACTTACACACTGTCCAGGGGGGCTGGCTCCAGTTCTGATAGTGAGACCCCTTCTTCTTCCAGCAACTTGAAAACTTCTCCTGCAATGGAACCACAGCACAGATGCTCATCAGCTGGGATTTCCATAAAAACAGAGAATGTCAAGAACACCCACATGCTCTGCACCCCTAGCAACCTGTAACTTGTCACCTGAGGCCTATATGTCCACCTGCTGGCTTGTGGGTAGAGGACAAACCTGGGCATAGGGGTGAAGACTCCACTTCTGAAGACCCTCAGGAGGGCCCTGGGACTGCACCCCTCACAGTGACTGTGGGGCTCAGAATGCCCCAATCCCAGGTGCTCCACAGTAGGGTGCCATCTGGGATGTGCTTATGCATGGAGACCTTCCTGTTTGAGTTCTCCAGCATTTATTATTTTTCTTCTTTTTTTTCCTCTCTTTTTTTAAAATTTTTAAAAGTATTTGGAGACACTGTAAGGCTGCTCAACTCAGAAATGGGATAATCAATGTGAGCCAGAAGGCTGACAAAACTACACCCATCTCCTTGTACAGATTATTCTATCTAATAATAGAGAAACATGGTAATTAACCATAACTTTGCTACCCTTCCCATTGGCTAATCAGCAAGATATGCAAATTAGCTGCAAACCAAGACGGCAGCCAGGCAGCTGAAGCGAACATGAGGCTTGCTTGCTCCAGTGATGGAGGAAGCCAAGGAGCTCCAGATGCAACAATGTTATAATTATAGAAGCTAAACAAACCCAGAAACCTGCTTTCAGCCATCCGCAGGCTCAGAGCTTAGAGCACCAGTGATGGCAAGAGAGTTTCAATTATAGAAGCTAAACAAACCCAGATACCTGCTTTCAACCAGCCACAGCCTGAGCTGGAGCCGGCTCTCAGCTCCAGGAACAGCTATAGAAGGTAAATAAAGCCCAGAATAAAACAAAAAAAGAAAAAAGGAGAGGCTGGGAGCTTCAGTCCCTGGCCAGCCTGAAACCGGCCCTCAACCCCTCATCCAGACTGGCCAGGCACCCTAGTGGGGACCCCCATTCTAAAGGGGGTGTGGCTAGCGTGAAAACAGCCATCAGCCCCTCATCCAGGCTGGCCAGGCACCCCAGTGGGGACCCCCACCCTGAAGGGGGGATGACCAGCCTGAAAACACCCATAAGCTCCTCACCCAGGCTGACTGCAGCTTAGATCTGCTCCCTATGGGCTGGTGGACATCCCCGAGGGCTGTCGGGCTGCCAGAGGGATGTCTGATTGCCATCTTAGGCCCAATCCCCCGGGGAGCAGGCCTAAGCCAGCAAGTGGTCACCCCTGAGGGGTCCCAGACTGCGAGAGGGCACAGGCCGGGCCGAGGGACCCCCTACCCCCGAGTGCACAAATTTTTGTGCACCGGGCCTCTAGTATATACATAATTTTTATTTATTTCAGAGAGGAAGGAAGAGGGAGAGATAGAAACATCAATGATGAGAATCCCCAATCAACTGCCTCCTACATGGCCAACACAGGGGATCTAGCCTGCAATCCCGGCATGTGCCCTGACCAGGAATCGAACCGTCACCTCCTAGGTTCATAGGTTGATGCTCAAGTGCTGGGTCACGCTGACTGGGCTGTACAGACTATTTTAGAGCAGACACTGGTGGTGCTGGGAGACCAGTCTGCTTCAGGTCCCTGAGACAAGACAGCTGTAAACACCAACCAGGCTCTAAGGGAGGGCCCCTGCCTCATGCTACGCCCTGAGGTGCTCTGCACACGGGACGACAGCTCTAGCCAGAGCCTGGGGGAGCCCTAGGCAATGCCAGCCTGTGCCCTGGACCTGGAGGTGCAGGGGCTCAGGGCGGCAGGACCCACACCTGTCGTGATGACACAATCCACATCTCGCGTCTGGTATTCCTGGCTAAAAAAGTCAGGTCTGGACGCTTCCAGCTTCTTGTCATAGCAGGGCATCACTGTCACATGGTGGATCTTGTCGGGAGTCACATGCTGTATGGAGAGAAGTGGAACGTGGAGTCACTGCCTGACCCCAGCAGCAAAGAGGTCCTCTTAGGGGTGAAACAGGGTGACCCCACAGGCACAGCCTGAAACAGCCGGGAGTGACCACAAGTCTATGAGTGGGTCCCTGGACACTGCAGGTCTTCGCTCATCTTTCAAGACAATGATACCAAATCACTCATCACTGGATGTCCGTTACCTGCTGCTGGGCGAAGAAGTCCTTGACCAGGGAGCCCATGACCTGCTGTGGGGACCTGGCAGTGCTGATGTAGGGGATGATGGTGCTCCCATGGGTCTTCTCC